CACGCTGTCGTCCACAGGCGCCGTGGTGTGGAGCTGCTGAGCTTGGCCACCGGAATCACGGCAGCACTCTTACCATCAACAACACCGCCAACGCGGGAACGTCCGAGAAGTCGGAGGCCGGAGCCACGCTGTCGTCCACAGGCGCCGTGGTGTGGAGCTGCTGAGCTTGGCCACCGGAATCACGGCAGCACTCTTACCATCAACAACACCGCCAACGCGGGAACTTCACCACTGTTGGAGACGTGTCCACAGGCACGCTGACGGCCTTAGACGCAGCAACCGCGGCCACCTTCACGGCCACGAGCGGCGGAGTGTCGACGGGAGCGTGGTCTGCGGCGACGTGACGAGGGTCTCCGCTCGCGACGGTGCCGGTTGCTGTGAGCGCTGCGCAGGAAATGGCACCTGAGGCGTCCACGCCGTCGTGAACACGTCCGTGCAGTTCACGTCGTTGCACAGCAGCTGGTTGCAGCCCACGTTGCCCTGCGCGGCGAGCCGTGGCCGAGCCCGTGAGGGCCAGCGAGTCGGCCAGCAGGTCCGTCCGTCACGGAGACCGACTCTCCCTCGAAGGTGCTGGCCCTGATCTGCATGCTGTACAGGTCCAGCGTGCCCGCCGACTGCTGCACCAGTTCGGGGATCGACCCGCCGAAGGCTCCGAAGTGCAGCTTGGCGACTCCGCCCGGCGGCACCGAGAAGTCCAGGCGCGCCGTGCTCCAGACGCCCTGCGAGGCCGTGCCGAGGAAGGTGCCGGTGACGCCCACGCAGTCGTTGTCGGCCGCGCTGACGTACATCACCAACTCTCTCTGTTATTGTGTGAAATCTAAAACCGCTCACAGCGCATCTTCAGAGGTTACCATTCAGCAAATGTGGATTCTGCGAAAATTTGGTGGTTTTGCGCGGTGCGGCCACAGCCCTTCTGCTTGCACTTCTGCAAGGTTTTTCAGCTTGCTTCAATATGCAGGCAAAACGGGTTCTAGTCGCATTCTGTGCGTCTAGGAAGTTTAAGTTGCCCGGGCTTAAAGCGCTGTTTCTGGCCTGGTAAGTGCGTTTCTGTTGCGGAGCTTTGTGGCTCGAAAAGCCTGATAAGTGCTTTCTAAGCGCAACGGTAACTCAGAGCAGAAGGGTGGAATTCTCTTGGCCTCATTTGCTGCATGTGAGCCTTGGGTTGCGTCTCCGTCAATCCTCCGGCAACAGGATTGTATTGCTGGGGCTCGCTGGCCGGCTTCCGGAACTTGCGTAACGCAAAAGGACGAATGGGGAAGATCAAGCTTTTCCCCACGCCTGAGTACACCAGCAAGCAAGCCTCGGACCCCGTGGTGCCCCTGGTGCCATGCACGGGCATCTTCCATGGGCCCAGCAAGTCGGGCAAAACTGTGGCGCTCATCAGTCTCATCCTGGAGCAGTACAAGGGCGTGTTTGAGCGGATCTACGTTTTCAGCCCAAGCGTCAACATCGATGATGGCTGGATCCCCGTCAAGAAGTACATCGAGCAGGACCTGGGGTGAACACGGAGCGTGAGCAGGCTTACTGGGACGAGTGGGATGAGTCCGCCTTGCGGCGCATCATCCAGCAGCAGCGCAAGATCACGGAAGCGTCCAAGAAGTTGGAAATGAAGAAACTGTACCAGTCATCGACGACTTTGCTGACACGCCGCAGCTCCACAAGCCGCACGGCGCCCTTGACACGCTCTTCATCCGAGGCCGTCACATGCAGATTAGCACCTGGGTGAGCTCCAGAAGCTGAGGCCATCAGCGCGAACATGCAATTGCTCTGCTGCTGGAGGCTCAACCAGCGCGAGCTGAGGAGCTGAGCCTGCTGCCGAACCGGCCCCCCAAGTCCGCTAGGCCCCCTAAGTCCCTGGGTGCCCCGGGGGCCTCGCTGTTCTCTCGAGGCCGCCGGGGTCAGTTACGGGCGCGTTCGCTTACGTCTGACATCCACGATAAACAGAACGCAGTCTTAGAAGGGGCAAAAGTCCCCGCCCGTGCCGGGGTTCACCTGCAGGTCGCGGACCTCCATCAGGCCGCATTGCTTGCCCATGATCCAGACCTGCCAGGCCTCGACGCGGGCCTGGCACGCAGCCCGCCAGCCTCGTTCCGCGCGTCCAGTTTGCACTTCAGGAAGGTCGCTCCCTGTCGGGACTCCTTGAGGCAGCTCTGCCACTGTCCTTCACATCGCCGTAGTCGCCCCAAATGCGGCTCGACCGCGAAGACAGCTTCTCGAATTCCTCCCAGGCCGCCCAGGCCTCGGAATCCCTTTCCATCGCAAGGCAGGCGTTCTGCCTGGGTCCTTGGTCCTCGCCGAGGCTGCTGGGCTCCCAGAGGACGTGAGTCCACGCGGACTGCCAGACGATGGCGCCCTTGGGGCTCGTCTGCACCTCGCCCAGGGCGAAGCTAGTGGCGATGACCTGGACTTTTGCTTGCCGGTCCTTTTCCTATAGGGCGGACAACAAAATGGTCCGACCAAAGGGACGGCCCTGGCTCAAGCGGCTCGAGGGCCGCCATTTCCGGAAAAAACACGTTTTTGTTTGTTTTTCCGTAAATTCAGTTTTGCATGGTTTTTGAGCGTGATTTTGCATGACAGGTTGCCGGTGTTGCGTTTTTTTCACGATTTTCACGTTGTCGGTCGTGTTTGGAAAGAGCTTCCCCAAGCACGTGAGCCTTGTGAAGGCGAGATTCGGGGACACTCTGGGGTACGGGGCGGGAACCGCTCGCGGGTGCAAAGGCGTGGTTTCAGACTCACAGGTTTTCTTGACCTCACGTGCCCTGTGCCCAGACTTCGACGTGCAGATCTTCTCGCAGCGCCGCGAGTTGCCTTTTTGTCACTTTTTGTTGGCCGCTTGCAGGTGGATCCAATTCGTGCTACTGGGGACTCTTTGGCTGGGCACCTGTGCGGATTGGTGTCAACTCGGCCTTTGAGCAGTGTTTCAGGTTTGGTCCTGGAGTTTGAAGGTCGTGTTTTCGCGCTTCCCCGTGCCAGGCTTTGTTTTGACATCGAGGCATACTGCCCGGGCCTTCGCTGCTTCCGTTGTCATGGCCATCAATGCCAACTGATCTTTGAGGTTTGGGTCCCAACTCGCCAATCTGTCAGGCCCCTTGATCTTTGGCCTAGCGAGGCCCGGACACCCCCCCCCGTCCCGTGCCAGGATTTGCGCGACTCGCGTTGCTTTTTTGTGTGCGTTTCCCAACCCCGTCAAGCCGCGCCGTCAGGCCCGTGTATCTTTGGAAATCGTGACCTCGTTGAGCCAGGCCCGCATTTTGTATTGTCTCTCCAACCTGGTGAACCCTTGACCTTGAGAGCGATTGCCCCAACCCCGTCAAGTCGTACTGTCAGGTTTTTTGTAAGTCAGGCAGTGTGGTTTCCTCAAAATCGCTTTTTTTTCCTGGCGCTCAGGCACTCCGAACTTTTGAGCTTGCGCCTCGAGCTCCACGTTCCGCCCGGGCCCTCGCCGCGTTCCATTGTCATGGCCAAGAGGTCCCGTGCAGGTTATTGTCATTTGATCTTTGTCACCAATCTGTCAGCCTCCTTGATCTTTGACCCAGTGAGGCCCTGACGGTCCGTCCCGAGGGTCCCTGGGGTCCCTAGGGTCCCTGGGGTCCCTGGCGTCCCTGGGTCCCTGGGCACGCGGGCGTCCGCTGCAGGTGCCATGAAACAACGTCCTTCCATCAAGACGTCGCGCCAGGGTCCCAAAGTGCATCCATCCTTGTCAACACACGGCGTTTTCAGGGATTTTAGCGACCCCAGAAACCTTACGGACCCTAGGGACCTCAGGGACCCTAAGGGACCTTAGGGACCCCAGGGACCTTAGGGACCCCAGCAACCCTGGGTCTTGGGAAGTCATCTCTCAAGCTTCGGTTGGTTGCAGCTTGCCACGCAAGGAGACACAAAGACGCGCGGAAGGGCAAAGCTTCTGTTGTTTTTCCATTCGAGCAACTTTCCATACATCTATTTATCTTCGTGTACTCATATCTATTTATTTTCATACATTTGTATATTCATATCTCTACGTATTTGTATCTCTTTATGAATTTCATACATTTATATCTTTGTATTTCTACAAATTCATATCTTTATATCTTTGTATCTTTATACCTTTCTCTTTATATCTTTATATCTTTATGTCTTTGTGCCTTTATGTTGGTATGTCTCTACATGATGTTTTCTACATCCGTGTTTGTAGTTGGGAGATGATGTTGTGGTTTTGTGGCCCATTTGCAATGTGTGTGTGTGTGTCTTGGCTTCGGCATTTTGTGTTTTTGCATGACCCTATGATGCTGGAGAATGCCCAGGCTGAGTGGTACCCGGCGTGAAGTTCTTGCCAAGATCCCTTCAAGCCCCAAAATCCTTGGGGCCACCAAGGATCTCTTGAAGTCCCTGGGTCGCTGGGTCCCTGAAGTCCTCGGAGTCCCTAGGGTCCCTAGGGTAGGGTTTGCAGGGTTGCTAGGGTCCCTAAGGTCTTAAGGTCCCTAAGGTCCCTAAGGTCCCTAAGGTCCCCAAGGTCCCTGAACCCGCCGTGCGTTGACAGGGACGAGCGCACTCTGGGGCCTTGGCGAGGCGTCTGATGCACATGTGTGCAGGGACCCCAGGGACTCTAGGGACCCTAGGGACCTTAGGAGGGACCCAGGGACCCCAGAGGCCCCAGTGATTGCAGGGACCAGGGACCCCAGAAACCCCCGCCCTTCAGCCCCTGGCGGCCCGGTGCCGATTTCGGCTGCTTGTTTTGCAGGCAGGCCAGTTTGGTATCTCGCTTGGACTTTGATGCAGCGGCAGGATGTGGGTGAGCCAGTCTGACGGATGGACGCTGCGAAGCCTTGCAAGGCTTGGCCCGACCGACCTTCAGGCCGCGAGTGAAAAGGAGGAGGAGCATCCAAACCCGTGCGTTGGTGTTGCCAAAGAAGCCAGTCAATCTTGTGTGTGCTCTGGAAACTTGGCTCGAGGGTACTCATCAACACTGACACAACAACAGCTCGCAATGGTTGCCCGATGGGTCTAGTGCCAGTGCTTGAGGAATCGCAGGCCGCTCAAGCGCTTTTCGAATAGCCATGGCGATGATGCGGACCAGGACCAAACGCCGAGGCTGGCAAGCTTGTGACGCTACCGTGCCCGCGGTAGGCAGCGGCCAGGTATGTGCCTCTGCCTTCTCGGGATTGCATTGGCGCTGCTCGTGCAGCCGAGCACGGCCTGGGTCTTGGGACACATGTTTTTCGAAGGTTTTCGGGTTTCAGGAGTCCCTTGTCGCCGGCGCCCAGGACTTTGCTCGAGGAGGTCCTGGGCTGAAGGAGCATGAAGTCCCTCCTTTGGATGTTCTTGTTTCGTGCTGAGTGCCAGGACAGCATGTTGGCCCAGTTCTCAGAGTTGCCCGCAGGCGCAAGCAGATTGCACTTGGGCTCTTTCAGGCAAAACGGCACCCGTTGCATGCCGGAGTCGCTCGGCGCGCCGGGGCTGCGCAAGAGGACTCCTCCGACCCGAAGCCTGTTCGCATCTTTTGCCGGTTGCCGCCAGGACAACAGTGGCGAGGCCGGGGACACGTGCATCGGGCTTGAACGTTGGGCTTGTTGGTTGTCAGGACCGGCGCGATCTCGAGGAGGCGGCGGACCAGAGAATGCGGGCCGAGTTCGTGGAAGAGGCAGGGCTGTTTGCTTCCTTTGCCTAAAGGTGAGATCCACATTTCGCGGCATTCTTTGTGACACAGGCCAAAGCAGCCTCAAAGGGCTTGAAAGAGGCCGTCTGTTTGTGCGCGCTGCTTCGGCGTGTGAGTCTTGCTGGGCAGGACCTGCTCCTGGCGCGGCAGCAGCTGAAGCTTGCGCTCGCGCAGCAAGAAGCTGCCCAGGAGCAGGAAGTTAAAGCCGTCGCCAGATTGGAGAAGGCGGAGGAATCAGGCACCAAGGAGGAGGTGGAGAAGGCGGAGAGGAAGGTCCAGGAGGCCAAGGAGGAGGTCGAGAAGGCGGAAAGGAAGGTGGAGAGGGCGAAGAAGGAGGTCCAGGAAGCGAAGAAGGAGGTCCAGGAAGCGAAGAAGGAGGTGGAGGAGGCGGAGGTCAAGGAGGCGAAGGCAAGCGGCCGGACGAAGGAGTCCGAGGCGGGCGGAGTCGGTCGCTTCCGCCGGCCGGCTGCGTTCTGAGCCGTTGGTCGTTGTGTGTGGTTTTGAAAATTCCCCCCGCGGCCCGCACATGGTTTTGGTGGGGCTGCCCTGATCGCATCCAGAGAACCAGGAAATCCCAAGATAGCATTTTTGCAGATTGCGGCGGTTCGTGTCGTTGGCAGGCTCGGTAGGGACCCCCCATGAACGGATGGTTGCCTTTCCTTGTTGGAGGTCGGGGTTTAAAGCTGGTCGACATTGATTGAGACGTGCCGTTGATCGTTGTGAGTGATTTTGTGCTTGCCCCCAGCCTGCTTTTGAAAGAGCAAGACCTGCCCGTCTGCCGGGGAGAGGGAGGGCAAACTCTGATGTCTTTGCACCCATTGGGGCCCTTGCTGCTGCAGGCACAAGTGCATTCTATGAATGTTCTCTTTGATGCAGTGAGCTCAACCATTCCCGGCTTTGCATCCACTCGCAGTGTTCTTGCTCGATGTTTTGCCCGTTTTGCTGCCATTCCATCCCCTTCTGTTGTTCAATTTTCTCCGTACCTGTTCATATCTGCCTGATTTGGCGTGAGTGGTTAGTGGAGCGCAAAACTATCAAACAGTCGAGGGGGAACCCGCAAATATTGAAGAGCCTGCTGTTCCAGTCGCCTGCCTTTTGAAGAGCAAGACCTACCCTTCTGCCATGGTCGTTGCTGCTGCAGACACAATGCAATCCGAAGGTTAATTTTGTTCCGACAGCACGAGCATGGAGGAGATTGCTAAAGTGTGCACAATGTATTTCTGCTGCCGGGTGACGTTGAGACGTGCCGTTTGACGTTTTGTGTGGTTTTGATTTCCCCCGCGGAAATGCTTTCAGTGGGGCTGCCCTGATCACATCCACAGAACCTCAACAAATTTGACGCCACTCTCCCCCCTCATCAACCTTGTCGGGGTTCCTGGGAACTCAGTGGTTTTGCTCAGCGTGGAGCCCCACAAAAGGATTGTTGAGCTGAACCACGCATCTCCCGCTTTGCTTTCATGGGCAGTGTTCCTGCTGGAAATTTGGTTTTGTTTCGGTTTTGGTACCCTTGGGTTCCTTGCTTTCCTAGTGCTCGGCTTTCGCACTAAGTACGGTCCACCTTTTTTACTTTTTGGGGTCATGCTCTCCTCTCAGCAACGGTCCCCTCGTCGTTAAGCTTCAGTGTTTTGGCTTGCAGAGGGCTCTTGGCTGCTTTAGGTTCATGCAAATCTGGTTGCTCTTTGTGTTTGGCTGATGCTTCAGAACGGGGTGTCAGTCCTAGGTTCGAGGTGGGGAGGTCAGCCTGTTTTGCGCTCGCTTTGCGCTCGCTCTCCAGGTTGCGGTTGCTTTTGTTTGAGGCTCGACTTTAAGGTTACTGTGGGGGGGTCAAGCGAGTCAACCCTGAGTTCTTAGTGCTTGCCTTCAGCGCGCGGACCTTGAGAGCAGTGGGGTTCTGGAAGGGCTTCTGCGTGGGCATGTTGCCTTCGGTTTGTAGCACTCCTGCTTGTCCGGGGCTCTTGGTCGTCGTGCGTTTTCATGCGGTCCACCGTTGTTGCTTTTTGGCGTGATGCTTTCCTCTCAGCAAGGATCCCCTCGTCGTTAGGGTGTCTGCACTGTGTTGGCTTGCAGCAGTTCGGGGAGTGGGAGAGGCTTTCGGAGCGACGGCTCTTGGCGGTTCACAAAATCTGGTTGCACCCGTTCGTTTTGTCGAGTGGGAGGCACCTTTCCGGCTCAGGCAAAGGTTTCCTGCAAATCTGTTGCACCCGAATGCGGAGGGGTATCCTGTTTTCTCAACCCTGCGTTCATTCAGTCAAACTGGAGGTGAGAGAGGATGCGTTGCTCTCAGGCTACGGTTGTTTGTGCGCGGGAGGCTGTGGTTATGCATCTGTGTTTGTGTGCTTGGCCACCCTGCTGTCGCGATATCCTCGGTGGCTTTCTTGGTTTGTCGGGGTTGGGCTGTGGGCACAACCTTCGAGGTCAGACTGTGCGGGCTGTTGTTTAGCTTCAGCTTTGCAGCTGAGCTGCAATCTGGGAATGGATACCAGGCAGACTGGTTGTCGGGATTGGCTTTGGGAGCGGGTCAGGCAACCAAGACAAGTTCATTGTTTTGGGGTGCAGGGCTTAGGCCGTCGGGAGGCGTCTCCAGCTTTGTTGTGCGCAGGCGTCCGCCTCGAGTAGCCTCAAGTGGGTCGTGGACGCCAAGGACACGGCATTTGCCAACGAGCTGCGCATGGCTCAGCCGCTGACGGCTCTGGACTGCGCTGATGAGAATTTCACCGACGTAGAGTCCGCAGAAGATGCCGGTATCGAGATCTTCCCGTTGAACGCCAGCTTGGATCCGAAAGAAGCCAAGCCATGGCTCTTCGTTCGAAAGCAGCAACGAGAGGTCTGGCAGGCGGCCTTCAATGCGTCGCAGGATGTGGTGGTGACCGGCTCGCCCGGCATCGGCAAATCCTTCTCCATGTCCTTCTTGTTCCGCGACCTCATGAAAGCAAAGAAGACCTTTGTCTTCGAAGCACGCAGGTGGAACATGGTGTACTTGTTCAAGCCGCGCACCGACGGCACCTACGAGGTCGGCAGCATGCAACTGAAAGACTGGGAACCGGCAGCGTGTGACGAGCTGAGAGTCCCTGCGAACTACTATGTCATCGACCCCGGCGAGGCTGAAAAGGGAGGCGTCTGCTTCGTAGCGGCCAAGACTGTCATTTGCCCGTCACCGGATCCGCAGCACCTTGGAGAGTTCAAGAAGCTCCCCAAATGCAAACTGTACATGGCAGCTTGCTCCTTGCAGGAGGCCCAGTGCATAGTCAAGTACCTCCGCCCCAACTTCGACCAGAACCAGGTGGAAGAGCTCTACAGGCGATTTGGTGGTATTCTTCGACACCTGATTGGCGACCCTAAGGAGGTGGAGATGGCTCGCAATGCAACCCTGTCGAACCAGAACTTGGTCAGGCAAGTTTGGACATCGGGCATCATTGATCAGGGACGTGAGTTGAAGCCTGCGCACTGGCTCTTCCAGATAGTGCCGGAAAACGGTTGCACCAGCAGCAGGGTTGAGTTTGTTAGCGAAGAGGCACTCGACCTCACCATTCACGAGTATGAGGCGGAGCTGGCTGACCTTTTGACATCGTTTGATCCGCTTGCAAAGCCCGTCCTCGGAGTTCTCTACGAACGCTTCGCCCACCAAGTGCTCTGCCGGGGGACGTTGCTGCTGACGCGGCTGGCCAACGTCACCGTTCCCATGTTCGAGATGCAGCTTCCACCACTCGATGAAGAGGTGGTGGACGGCAGCATCGCCGATCTTTTCACAGCTGCCACCACTGGGCAGCTACGATACATGCGGCCCAGAGATGTGGGCCTGCCGGTCATTGATTCATGCCTGGCTCCTGTTGAGGACCCGAACAGCATGTGTTCTGTCAAAGTGCCTGCGCTGGTGTGCAGTGCTTGCGTTTTGTGCCCCTGGTTTTTCCCATACCCCTAAGGACGGCGTGATGACATGCTTCCAGATCACCGTCAGCGCAAAACACTCCCTGGATCTTGTCGCCTTGGAGAATGCTGCACGGGGTCTTGACATCGCCAAGATTGTTATTTACTGGGTCGTTCCCAGAGACAGCTTTCGAGAGTTCAACCGCAAGCAGACGTTCGGGCCTCAACTTGTATTCGAGCAGCGCGTCCTTTCGCTCGCTGCTCCCCGCAATCCCTTTACCGAGCAGGAGATGCAAGAACGGTTGCAGAAGGCTGAGCTCTCTAAGCTTACCACAGGAGACGAGCAGCTCCTCAAGCAAGAGATTGATGACCTGAAGCTCCGGTACTTGGTTATGAAATCTTTCGAAGAACAAGATGTCAAGGACATAATGAATAAGGTGTTAAAAGAAGGGAAAAGAGCGAAAAACCAGGATCCCGTGGCTCTGCGCGCAGCACGAGCTTGGGATAAGATTGTTGCCTGTATGGCTTGGACAAAAAAGAGAGGCGAGTGCAAGGGCACAGTTGGCCGGTGGATTTGCTTTCCACTGCTTTAGAACAGCGCGAATCATGATTTCATGTCGCATATCTTTATCTTGACATTCAGCGCACTCAGGCTCTCGACACATGGAGTTTTTGCATAGAGTTTGCTGCAAGCTGGACCATCACACTGACACGACAATGCAGCACTCATCGTCAGAATATCGCTCTTTCGGTTCAAGTCTGCAGCACACATCTGCGTGTTGGAGTTCCGGTTCGAGTCGGCGCGCATCGGTGAAATTTCGGCTAGTCTTTTGGAATCTTTCTGGAATCTTTCGACTCTATGTGTTGAGTCTTTGTAGAGTATCTGTGCAAAACGCAGTCTTTTTGAAGTCTTTGTATTTCTCGAGTCTAGCACTCATCATTTGACGGCTGTGGCGCTTTCCGAGTCGAATCTTATGAGGACGACCCGCCCAAAGCCGTAGTGGAAGTCTAACCTTCAAAACTCCACCCCGCCAGGCCGCACTATGGCCCAAAAGATTTTGCGAGCTTTTTTCGCGCACTTTTGGGCCTTCTAGAAGCCAGCGCTGGGGCTGCAGGGCCGCGTTTGGGAAAGGGTTGGAGCCGGGGCGGGGCGGAAGGACTTACCCCGGGAACGAAACAGCCGGGGGGCACGCTGCAACGGGGGTAGTTTGGAAAGCCAAATATAAGACAGAGGGGGGGGGGCTCCACCCTCCCTCAACCCCCCCCGCAGGGAAGGCTGCGCTCCCCCTCAACCTCTCCGCTTTTTTTATAAGCCGAACACGTACGCGGTCAAATTCGAAATTGATTCTTCTGGCTTATACTACTGCCAAAAATGAGGATGCTCTTCACTGCGCTACTACTCCCTCTTTGACTTAACTGATCTTCCATTTGCTTAAACAGGTTCATGGAGGTGTGAAAGTTACCAAAAAAAACTAATCTTTTCTCTTGCTTAAGGAGGTCTAAGATGAAATCCCCTTAAAACCACCATTAAGCTAACTCTCTTTAACAACTCTTTTTCTTTCTCGCTTACTGACATCAATAAAAGAGGGCGTGATTTTCATATTTTCGCTTTACGATGTTTTAAAGAGGGCAGATTTTCATAACAAGCTTCCTTCTCTTAGGCACTTCTTGAGTCTTTCGAAAAGCCCACAAGACACTAACTCCCTTCAAGTTCTCCTCTCAAGTTCTCAACTCTCTAAGCTTCTTCCATCAGTTTCCCCTAAAGCGGTCCCTAATTCTCTTTAAGCCATCTCTTAAGCCTTCTTAAGTTCCATCAAACCTGCTAAAAAAGAATGCGGCTTGAAGGAAGCTTTAGAAGAGAGTTGAAGGGGAACTTGAGAAAGAAGACTTCTCAAAATTGAATTCGAGGAAGGTTAGAGGGGCGTCGAAGGGAGTCGAACATTGAAGAGGGTCGAACATTGAAGGTTTGACAAGAGACTTCAAGGAGGGTTTGAGAAGGGAAGTTTCTCAAAGAGGCTTCAAGGAGGCTTCAAAAGCTTCAAAGGGGAGGCTGAATTCTCGAGGGAGCTTCAAGGGGTCTTCCAAACCTTTGAAGGGGATTCAAGAGGTTGGAGAAGAGGCTTCAAAGGGAGTTTGAGAAGAGAACTTCTTAAAGAGAGCTTTTGAAAGTTTGAAATTGTTTAGAATTCTCAAAGGGACGAAAACACCTTTCTTGAATTCCTTTTAAGCTCCTTGAATTAATTCCTCAAATTCAATTTGTGTGAAAAGACACCAGTTCAGCTGGTAGTATTTTTGGTTGTCCTGAAGTCGTGAGCTTGTATAGTGCATGCGTTTTGCCCACTCGCTTTGTTTGTGTTTTTGTTTGCGCGAGCTGTTGTTGTTAGTCGAAACGCTTTTGTGAAGCTTTTCCTTTGGGAAGCTGTGTTGAAGCTGTTAGGAAGCATGTTGGCAGTGTAGAGTGTGCTGCATCTTGGTAGGTAGTTTGTAGGAGTGAGCAGGAGGAGGACCTGTTTGCTGCTTGAACGCTTTTTGGAAGCACACAGACAGTTTTGGCAGAGCAGAAGTGTTTTGAGTTGGTAGGAAGAGTTTTAACGTGTTTTGGAAAGCCACGTTTCACGCGAGTGTTTTGCTGAAGAGTTTTGCTGCGCAGGTGTGCTGCTGATGCAGCCTTTTAGCCCAGTGATGAGAAGAAGAGCTCAGAAGCTCTCGTGAAGAGACTAGTACTCTGAAAGAGTACGAGCTTGAACTCTGAGGGTTTGTGTTTGAAGCATGTAATTTGTCTTGCATGGGAATACGAGTTCCCAAGCCGAGCTTGCAAGCCAGAAGGTTGCAGAAGAGCTGTGACCAAGCTTCCGCTTGACTGAACAAACTTTGGCTCAAGGCTTCAAGTGTGAGTAAAAAGGTGAGGCGTGTGCTCGCTGTCTGCTGCGCTACTTTTCACATGGTAGCGGAGCATGGTGTCTGAAAGCAGAAAAGCAGAACCCGCTCGAGAAGACAGCTTGACAGCAATGGCGGCTGACCCGACCAACGTGCCTTTACCTGGACAGGACGAAGTGGACTTTGACCTGTTTGGCCCTGCTGAAGGACCGCAAGGTCAAGCGCCTGTTCCTCCTGTAGCAGCCCAGCAGCCTGCAGCTGCACCCCAAGTGCAACAAGTGACTGTTGCAGGCCCCCGCGGCTCGCTCAGAGTGGTCGCTCCACTACCCGCGTTTGCGGGCCACGTGCGTGGCCAGGTCCTGGATGCCCCGGTCCACTATGGCCGTACGTTGCGATCGGCGTGGCGAATTCGCTGCCCAGGTCGTTCGTGACCACGAAGTTCTTGTCATCCCCCACCAGCTCCTGCGTGGCCCGCTTGGTGGCCTGGCCGACCGTCTTGGCGTTCTTGTTGAGCACAGCCTCCACAGCAGCCTCCGGATACAGACGTCCATGACCACCAGGCGTACCTGGTCTTCCCTCGCGTGTTCTGGCTGAAGTCGATGAGCTCCGCAGCCGAGTGGGCCTGCCTGCCCACTCCGTCTTGACCCGGCTGTCCGACAGGTCGGTGAAGCTGGTGTTGCAGACCACGTTGCCCGTGTTGCCGGCGATCACCAGGCTGAGCGACAGCTGCGTCGAGAGACTCTTCGTCTGGACCAGCGCCTCGTCGCTGATCATGATGAGCTCGCACTGGTGCGCCCCGCCGTCCCGCTCCAGGAAGACCCGCGCACTCTGGTTGTCCAGCAGCCACAGCTCCGGGCCGCTGTTGGGTGCCGCGCTGTTGTTGGACCTTGCTCCAGCCCGCCCAGTTCTTCGTCAAAATGAGGTCGTCCGCGAAGTCGGAGGTGTTGGTCACGGTGAGCGTGTTGGACGCAAACAATTGCGGGGCGGAGACCGTGCCCGAGCTCGTCACGTCGCCGCGCACGCTGCCCGTCGACACGCCGCCGCTCGTGGCCGTGAAGGTGCAGTCCAGGCTCTCGCAGTCCAGCGGGCCCGTGGAGGCCGCCCCGGTGATCGTCAGCGTAGCGCCGCTCAGTGCCTCGGTGGACTGCGAAGCTCGCCGCGGTCGCTGCGCCGGAGGCAGTCAGGGTGTCCCGTCCCGCGTTGGCTGTGTTGTTGATGGTGAGGGTGCTGCCGGTCGTGATGCTCAGCGAGCTGCCCGAGACGGCGCCGGTGGACGTCAGCGTGGCTCCGGCGACGGTGCCAGTGGCCGTGAGCACTGCGCAGGAGATCGCGCCCGAGGCGTCTACGCCCGTCGTGAACACGTCCGTGCAGTTCACGTCGTTGCACAGCAGCTGGTCGCAGCCCACGTTGCCCTGCGCAGTGAGCCCGTCCAGCGTGGTGAGGGGCGAGTCGGCCAGCAGGTCCGTCACGGAGACCGACTCTCTCTCGAAGGCAGTGGCCCTGATCTGCAGGCTGTACAGGTCTAGCGTGCCCGCCGACTGCTGCACTAGGCCGGGGATCGATGCGCCGAAGGCGAGTGCAGCTTTGCGACGAGAAGTCCAGGCGCGCCGTGCTCCAGACTCCCTGCGCGGCCGTGCCGAGGAACTGACGTACATCACCAGGTTGGAGGCCGTGCCCAGCCGGTACCGGAAAAATTAGCGTCTCCCCGGCGTCAGGGTGTAGGTGCGCACGATGTTCCAGGCGAAGGCGCTCCGGGGCATGGCGTAGCCCTCCAGCTCGAAGCCTCCCACGTGGGCAGGCAGCTTGGCTTTCAGCATCCAATCGCCGCCGCGCGATTGCCTCACAGAGGGCAGCAGCCGCTGGCGCACGGCCTCGGGCGTGAGCTTCGCGTCGAAGACGCGCTCGGACGCGGCCGCCAGCTGCTCGACCAGATCGGTCTCGGCCCGCTCCCAGAAGAGCCTCGCGCCACCGTGAAGCTGGCCGAGGCCACGGAGCTCTGGCTGTTGGAGCGCACTAGGAAGTTGCCCAGTGTGGTCAGGGTGGGCTCCAGCAGCACCTCGCCCAGCATGGCCAGCGTGACGTCGTCGGGCCTCCAGAATTGCGTCCAGGATCTGGAGCCCGTAGACGTCCACCGTTCCTGCCGTCTGGTTGGGCAGGTCCGGCGCCTGGAAGTGCGCCCCGAAACCCCGTTCGGCGGCACGGTGAAGTACATCTTGGCCGTGCTCCAGGCGCCCTGGTCCCCCACGAAGCTGCCGTACAGGGGGTCGTAGACGTTGTCGGCCTCGGACAGTCAGGACTGCGCCCACGGTGTGTGTGGCCAGGACCACGCTGCATCCGCTGCTGGGACGAACCGACCAGTTTGCCAGGGAGACGTCCGTGGGGCCCAGGATCTGCTCCCCGATGGCGGCCACCACCTCGTCGGCCCCTCCGTCGTCCGGGAAGCGCACGGCTATCTCCAGGGCCGAGGCTGCCTCCGTGACTCCGAGCTTGCCGGCCAGGAGGCCGTTTATTTGCGCGATGGTGTAGTAGCTGAGCAGGGCGGCTGCGATGCTCGAGGCCGTCGCCGTGTCCTGGTCGGCGGCCGAGCGGTGCGCCACCAGCGCCGAGGTGATCTGGTTGGTCGTGAACACGTCCTGGTCCGGGCCCGTCCGGTAGGCCAGCAGCGCGGCCGTGATGGCTGCCTGCGTCTGCGTGTCCTGCACGCTAGCCGTGCGGTAGTCGGCCAACAGGGCGTCCACTTGCGCCGAGGTGTAGTAGGCCAGCAGCGCAGCCGAGATGGCGCTGGTCGTTTCGGCGTCCTGCGCCGTCCCTGTTCGGTAGTCGACCAACAGCGCGTCCACTTGCGCCGAGGTGTAGTAGGCCAGCAGCGCAGCCGTGAGGGCCGCGTCCGCCGCCGCGATGGAGTAGCAGTCGGCCGTGATGCTCAGCGTGTCGTCGCCGTTGGCCAGCGCAGCAGAGAGAGGAGGCTGCAGATGCAGGTTGCGAACGACGTTGCTTCCGCGAACGAGCTCCCAAGTCGTGAACCCCGCCCAGGCCGGCGCGTTAACAACTCCGCCTCCGGGAAGCTGCAGGGCGGCGAGCTCCGCGAGGATTGCGTCGAGGGCGCTCTGGAGCGTGGTCTCGCTGGCGGAGAGCGCGGCGTTCGTGGCGTACGAGGCCAGCAGCGTCGCGTCGGCCTTGGCGCCCTGGAGCGCCGAGATGCTGGCGTCACGGCTAGCAAGCTGCGCTGCGACGAAGGC